TGAGTTTATGACAATGACTCATCTCCTTAGCAACAATATTGCAATTTTGATGAAGAATTAAGGCCGGAAAATTACTATGCATAATATGCAAGTTAGATAGGAACAATATTATAATANTGTATATACTGTATAGGATCCTGTATAGTGTATATACTGTATAGGATCCTGTATAGTGTATATACTGTATAGGATCCTGTATAGTGTATATACTGTATAGGATCCTGTATAGTGTATTATATACTGTATAGGATCCGAAACAACTGTTTAATAAAACTGTTCCCTCGGACCAACCAAATAAAACCTTTTTGGTAAATATTTGTCCTAAGGTTTAACATTTTCTGATCGAACTGGTTTGTTGTTCTTCCACAGACAATCATGGTACAATGTATCAAAAATTCAATTCCTTGAATTTTGCATAAACTTAAATTGCCTCAGTTTCAACATTTTGTTAAGACAATTCAAAATCAGTAAACGTGAGTAGTAACATCAAAATTATCAACACTTACATTTATTAACATTGTACAATTTTATTATTAAAATGTTCGGTGTACCATACACTACATCAGTTCAGGGAAAATCGAATTTTCACTGTAACACTAAGTTCAAACTAAAATTACTTATGTTATTAAAAAATATATTCTACATAACATAAAATTCAAGCTAAAATTACTAGTTTTCATACCAAAACTACAAAAATTTGTACGGCTCGCTCACTCGTGGATCTATATTATGACACCTCAGAATTTTAGTTTGTATTTAGAGATTGTTGTGAACCTAGAAAATCTCACCTTCCCTGGCTGAAATCCCATAGATAAATAAATAAACATAGATAGCTTATGTACGCAAAATCACCAAGAATTGTACAGTCCGCGAACTCATACTTCTAGGGGTCAAAGTGTACTTCAATGATAAGCGGGGTGGTTTGGTGTTTTAATGGATTTCATATTAGAGTGTAAAATAACTCCGGGAATGGAACTATTTGAACAATAATATTTGACTGAGTAATATATCATATTGACGAGAACTGAAGAAGGACATGAGAAGGACTAAACAAACTTAAATTTCTCTCTACAGAACTCATGTACACCACAAGTACTCAATGACATAAGAACAGCCAATGTTCACAACCGACCTAGTTAATCTATATTATAGGAATATCTTTAAAACATCTCTGTACATTTATATCTTTCAAGGTGAAAAATGTCGTCTTATGCGCAATCTATCTTTATCTATGTGAAATCCTGATTACACTCCTGACCCTTAAAAACTTTGCCTGATCAAGCATTACAATACTTACTTAGATATCTATGTTTTTCTTTTTTAAATTCTAATCAGACATGGTGAAATTATCAAAATCTAACACAGTTCTAGTCAGGAAAACTACAGTATCTTCCACAATATTGACCAGATTAAGGTTTAAAGGTTACAGTTGTAATCCAGACATTGCCATCTTTTCATGGAGTGTTACCTAAAATTACGCTTACAGATTTTCTACTCCTTCTCATACCACCTCTCTTCTTGTATGATAATGATTTGTATTTGTAAATACAGGTTTGTTTGGCACATTTAATTTCCTAATGTGACAGCTCGACAGAACCTTAGAGATAGGATTTTCCTAGAACCTACAGATATGATTTTAATTAATTCCTAGAACCTACAGATATGATTTTAATTCCTAGAACCTACAGATATTATTTGAATTCCTAGAACCTACAAATATGATTTTAATCAATTCCTAGAACCTACAGATATGATTTTAACTGATTCCTAGAACCTACAAATATGATTTTAATTAATTCCTAGAACCTACAGATATTTTCAAATATTTGTCTCCATCAAAATTCGATCTTCATTAAATTTTTGAAAATTTTGAAAATCCACGAATTTTTTTTGTTTTGTTTTACGATGTACACAAAGAGAACATGTTCACAATTAATTTAGAAGATGGGCGCGAAGCGCCCTCTAAGGCTAGTTTTAATAATTCCTAGAACCTACAGATATGATTTGAATTCCTAGAACCTACAAATATGATTTTAATTAATTCTTAGAACCTTCAGGCTACAGATATGATTTTAATTAATTAATTCATAAAACCTACATTTATAGATGAGATGTTCTTTAAGTAATTCATAAAACCTACATTTATAGATTTGATTTTAATCTTCGATTTACAACGATATCCTGTAAACTTTTACTAGATCAAGAAAGAATTATCGTTTTTTCCCGATTTTGATTTCTATGTAAAAGTAAACGTGAATTACGGATTTTGCAGACGATACCATGGTATGGATACTTTCTTAGTTTTAACAATTTGAAGATAGAAAAACGGCGATATTATCTATTGTTATAAGGTAAAAGGGTACCATTGTGTATCGGACATGACACTCTTTTAAATGGAAGATGACTTGAAATTACTTCGCGCCCATCTTCTGTTTCAATTGTGACAATGTTCTCTTTGTGTACATTATAAAACAAAACAAAAAAGTTCCCGAATTTTTAAATTTAATGAAAATCTAATTTTGATGGAGGCACATTTTTGAAGTTTTGATCATTCATAAACCTTCCCTGGGGTCACGTTAGGTCCCACACAAAATTTGGGCCCGATCGGTTTAGCCGTTTTGACGTTTATTGGATACAAACAGACATACAAGCAAAGTATGTATATAGATGATTTTCTCATTTAAACTGTTTCTCTGAAACTTTAAAATTGGATACCCTTAATCTTAATCTTGAAAGATATAAATGTACAGAGATGTTTTAAAGATATTCCTATAATATAGATTAACTAGGTCGGTTGTGAACATTGGCTGTTCTTATGTCATTGAGTACTTGTGGTGTACATGAGTTCTGCAGAGAGAAATTTAAGTTAGTTTAGTCCTTCTCATGTCCTTCTTCAGTTCTCATCAATATGATATATTGCTCAGTGAAATAATTTGATATTCACTCCTGAGTGGTTTAATAATTATGAAATCCATTAAAACACCAATCCACCCCTCTTATCATTGAAGTACACTTTGACTCGTAGAAGTATGAGTTCGCGGACTGTACAATTCTTGGTGATTTTGCCATAGAGAATAGAATATATAGAGAGGAATTAAAAGAATCTCTCGGTATGAATTTTTTCAGTCCCTTTCTTGATATATTTTACAAACTCAACCTGGTGATATATTTTACAAACTCAACCTGGTGATATATTTTACAAACTCAACCTTGTAATATATTTTACAAACTCAACCTGGTGATATATTTTACAAACTCAACCTGGTGATATATTTTACAAACTCAACCTGATGATATATTTTACAAACTCAACCTGGTGATATATTTTACAAACTCAACCTGGTGATATATTTTACAAACTCAACCTGGTGATATATTTTACAAACTCAACCTGATGATATATTTTACAAACTCAACCTGGTGATATATTTTATAAACTGAACCAGGTGATATATTTTACAAACTCAACCTTGTGATATATTTAACAAACTCAACCTGGTGATATATTTTACAAACTCAACCTGGTGATATATTTTATAAACTCAATCTGGTGATATATTTTACAAACTCAACCTGGTGATATATTTTACAAACTCAACCTGGTGATATATTTTATAAACTCAACCTAGTGATATATTTTACAAACTCAACCTGGTGATATATTTTACAAACTCAACCTTGTGAAATGTTTTACAACCTCAACCTGGTGATATATTTTACCTGTAAAATTCATTCCCCAGATCCCAGTTTGTGATATTTCCTGAACAAAATAATGGATGAAAATAATATTCGGAAAAATATTAAATTTTTACCATTTTCAAATTTTTTAAATTGTTTTTCTACAAAGGAATTGATTATTTGCCACAAACTCCATTTGTTTGATCGCCCTTTCTTTGCAACGTGATGGTGTAAACCTTTAATATTTAAAACCTAAATGAATTTATCATAGTTTGAAAAGCCTAAGGTCTATAACATTAGGTTTCAAAGACATAGGGATTAGAAAATTAGAGCTTATGGCAAAGACTCAAATCCTTTACTCTGTCTGATGAAAACAAATCTAAGATAGATTTATCAATCTTTTAATACATTTTTAATTGAGCAACAAATTCATTTTCCAATTTAATTTTGATGAAATCTATCTATCCATTAGAATCTATTCATCCTATTAGAATCCATTCATTAGAATCTATTCATTCATGAAAATCTATTCATACCATTAGAATCCATTTATTAATATCTATTAATCCATTTTATACTATTCATCCATTAGAGTATATCATCCATTAGAATCCATTCATCCATTAGAAACTATTCATCCATTTGAATATATTCATAAGTTAGAATCTATTCATCCATTAGAATCTATTCATCCTTTAGCATCTATTCATCCTTTAAATCTATGCATCCATTAGCATCTATTCATCCTTTAAATCTATGCATCCATTAGCATCTATTCATCCTTTAAATCGATTCATCCATTAAAATCTATTCATCTTTTTTTGCATCTATTCATCCATTAGCCTTTATCCATCCATTAAAATCGTTGTTAAATTTATCTATTCATCCATTAGCATCTATTCATCCTTTAAATCGATTCATCCATTAAAATCTATTCATCATTTTTTGCATCTATTCATCCATTAGCCTTTATCCATCCATTAAAATCGTTGTTAAATTTATCTAAAAAGTTTAACAAGCTTTTCTTAAAAGTTTAAAAATCCAATTTTGATAATCTTTAAAATAGGAAACATAAAATTATTTGAAAATTCATTTCGTCTTTATGTTTGAAACTCAATTCAAGCTAGAAACAATCCCGAAGTAATTGTACAGGGCTACACTTAAAATCTCAGTGAGTTGGTGAAGTAAAACTTGAAAGTCGACCCGGTATTACATTTTGATGCATAACTTTCATAAAAGGATTTTCGTGTGCCAGTTAGAAACAATGAAAACAAAGGTTGAGTTACTTATCTATAAATTACCTTCACATGATAGGTCGTAGTTCAATTACTTCGAACCAAACTCATAGCACCATAGGAGAATATCTAAATAGGATAAACTAACTCATAGCACCATAGGAGAATATCTAAATAGGATAAACTAACTCATAGCACCATAGGAGAATATCTAAATAGGATAATCCAACTCATATAGCACCATAGGAGAATATCTAAATAGGATAAACTAACTCATAGCACCATAGGAGAATATCTAAATAGGATAATCCAACTCATATAGCACCATAGGAGAATATATAAATAGGATAAACCAACTCATAACACCATAGGAGAATATCTAAATAGGGTAAACCAACTCATAGCACCATAGGAGAATATCTAAATAGGATAAACCAACTTATAGCACCATAGGAGAATATCTAAATAGGATAAACCAACTCATAGCACCATAGGAGAATATCTTAATAGGATAAACTAACTCATAGCACCAAAGGAAATTATCTAAATAGGATAATCCAACTCATATAGCACCATAGGAGAATATATAAATAGGATAAACCAACTCATAGCACCATAAGAGAATATCTAAATAGGATAAACTAACTCATAGCACCATAGGAGAATATCTAAATAGGATAATCCAACTCATATAGCACCATAGGAGAATATCTAAATAGGATAAACCAACTCATAGCACCATAGGAGAATATGTAAATAGGATAAAGACGAATTTTGAAAACTGAAATAAATCTCCATAAAGATTAGTCTCTGTTATTTATAGCCAAAATTTCTCTTGAATATTATTTAGAGATATTTTTGTATCCTGAGAATTGACTGGTTGTAAACCCCCGTCCCCGGGGCCATGGCAGGTCCCATAAACAAAGACGTCGGCTAATTCAGATAGCAATTTTGACATTTATTACTGGTTACAAACCAAGATTTATAACAAATTTAACAGTTAAAATCTCTAATATTACAATGGTATATGAACAATTTTATCAAAACAATACTTTTTAAAGAGGCTGCTCATAAAATTTCAATTTATGTATCAAAGACAAAGCTTGACATCTTTAAAATTTTTCTCTTTTTATGTTCAGCAAAAACTAGGTTATCTTTAGATAAGGGTTTCAAGGGACATGAAAATAGTTATTTAAGATTACTTTGACAGTCCCTTTAAATAGTCTGATTTAAGAATTAATTAAATATATTTTATTTTAAAAACTGATTTTACTAGTTTTCAAGATGATGGTTTTAAGGGTCCTGTTGTGTATCGGACATGACTCTCCATTAAAAAAAATAATGTCAAGTATCCCTGGTTCCCCTGGTATGGGGGGGGGGTGTACCTGAACGGCAAGTGGAACAATATGATGTAGGACTGTGTCTAGATCTACAATAAAGTGAATACCAAGCATACCGATGGGGAATTTCTCTCTCAAGCTCACTTTGTCCTGAAATTTATTAAATTTCTATTTTAAGAATAATTTTCAAGATTGAAAAAACTAAATATTATTTTGCTAAAACATTTTGTTGTTTCTCTTGAATATTTTCAAAATATTTTCGTCTTATCAAAAATAGATATTAACAACGTCAATCATGTCAATATATAAACTTGTATAAAATATAAAATATAAAATATGAAAATATTGAGAATAAAAAATGTTAGAGAATATATAAAGAAAGATTGTAAAAGGCAAAATTAAGTTTAAAGAGTTTTTAAGCATAAAAAGCGATTTATGCACATAAGTAGCAATATTTTTTGGGCCTTCGCATGAGAAATTACGTCACTTAAATTTGGAATTCCAACTACTCTAAACGTCATTTTACCCTAGGTTTTTGCACTATAACACGCTTTGTGTCACTTACCTTTTCTCACCATTCATTGCGTCATTTTAGCGTAGGATCTCCCAATAGATGCTTTGGGTCATCTTACCCTTATATAATCTCTTACTATATGCTTCGCATAATTTGCAAATTGATCTTGAAATTGATAGGATCTCTCACTACACTTTGCGTTTTTTTACCGTAGGATATTTCCCTATACCTTTTGCGCCATTTTACCATTGGATCACCCACTACACTTTGAGTCATTTAACCATTGGATCTCCCACCACGCGTTGCGTAATTTTACCTCAGGATCTTCCACTACGCGTTGTGTTATTTTACCTTAGGATCTCCCACTAAGCATTGCATAATTTTACCTTAGGATCTCCCACAACGCCTTGCGTCATTTTACCTTAGAATCTCCCACTAAGCGTTGTGTAATTTTACCTTAGGATCTCCCACTACGCCATTGCGTCATTTTACCTTAGAATCTCCCACTGAGCATTGCGTAATTTTACCTTAGGACCTCCTTAGGACCTTAGGGCCTTGCATTATTTTATTTTAGAATCTCCCACTACGAGTTGCGTTATTTTACCTAAGGATCACCCACTACATGTTGCGTTATTTTACCTTAGGATCACCCACTACGCATTGCGTTATTTTACCTTAGGATCTCCCACTACGCATTGCGTTATTTTACCTTAGGATCTCCCAATACGCGTTGCGTTATTTTATCTTAGGATCTCCCAATACATGTTTCGTTATTTTACCCTAGGATCTCCCACTACGTGTTTCGTTATTTTACCTAAGGATCACCCACTACATGTTGCGTTATTTTACCTTAGGATCTCCCAATACGCGTTGCGTTATTTTATCTTAGGATCTCCCAATACATGTTTCGTTATTTTACCTTAGGATCTCCCACTACGCTTTGCGTCACAATCCAGAGATAATTGCTCCCAGTTAATCCTGCAGCTGCCCCCTGACAAATAGATATGGGCGTTACATAAATTTTTCCAGGATGAGGGGGATGGATAACCTTGACACTATCCAAATTTGGCTTTTTTGTTAAAAATAAATTTGGGGACGTGAGGGGGGCACAGTGTGGTATTAAGGGGGAGGGCAGGTCCGCCAAAATGAGTTTATTCCATAAATCTCTTATTTAGATCAAATAAGTTGTTTAAATGTTATGTTTTAGTACAGAATTTCGACCGAAAATTTCATTGAAAACTCTTAATATAGAATTTTTCAACACGCTACCTGACTCGATCAAGGTTTTGGCGTGCTGCCGACGCCCCTAAATCTTTTCTATATGGCTGTTAGAATCTATTTATATTTTTAGATTGTAAGAAACCCCTATGCTTTCTTGTACTTTTGCTATAAAATATAAAATTTTCCCCCGAAATAGTTCTCTTTACAAAGACGCCATCTAAATATTTGATGGGTTTACATGATTTAATCAAGGATAAATATATGAACGGGAAAAGTAATTATAAATTAAAATTCAAAATAAAAAAATCAATCCAAGCTACAATTAAAACAATGTTTGTAAATGGAAAGATTATCAGAATATATTAATTTTTATCCATTCTCATCATGAAACATAAGGCAAATGGATTTTAAAAGGAGTATTGTGACAAAAACCCCTCTGACCCCGTAAAATACCCCACGGGGGGGGGGGGGCTAGTCAGATTTCCCTTCCACCCTGCCTGCAATAGATTTAAACATTCAAGGAACCAAGAATTTTACACCTTTATCAAGTTTTTTGTTTAGTATTTGTATCTTAAAACTTTTAAACTATCAGTTTTGCTAGATCACAGTTTACAGTGTCAAAATTTTAAATTGTACACCATCAGGTTGCCAAGAGTTATGGACTGGAAAATTGGTGCCAAAACTGAACATAGTTTCTATTTAATTGTTCAAATAAATCCCTTCTCTCTCGGCTCATCAAGATTTAGAGTGGTTTTAAATCCTACCTTCTGCATAATCAACTCGGCTTCTCTCTGAAATAACAAATATATAATTCTCGTTAAATTAAACCAAATTTTCAAAAACTATTAGAGCTGACACTTCTAGAAGTACCCCTAAGAAAATTCTAGTGGAACTTATTGATCACAGTGTGCGTGGAATCAAAACTAGATGAGATACGATGTCATAAAGTTGGACCAGTATTATCGCTAAAAATCTATCAACAAGTAATAGCAAGACAACATAAAGCAAAATATTCAGAATGGTGAATTTAAGAAAATGCATCTTTTTGAATGTCCGTATCTTGACTTTAAGTTTTTCTTTCAATTTCTGGTATCTGTCATTGCATTCCGCATTTGCAGTTTTTTGTTTTGCAAGTTTGACAACTATTTTGTAGAATTTAAGAATTTTAAAGTTGCGTGTTTTTTTGTGCCTACAACCACAACCAACATATCGTACACAAAATGTTTTTTTAAGCTTTGATGACTTTTGTACACGACAATCCACAGTAGTACATTCTAAGTCCTAAAAATCACATACACGTATAGTTAGAAGTATTTGTAAAGTTAGAGTTTGTAGATATTTGTAATATGTTTCTAAAAACAAACCCACAAAAGCTGTAATGAATATGACATTAAATAAATCTATACTGAGCATATTAAGAAAGGTATTTCAACCATCTATATTAATTTATACAAAATACAGATATCATAAGTTTTCCTAGAGGGGAGTATATTTTCTCATAAAATCATTCCCCTTCTTTGAAAATCATGCCCCCCCCCCCCCTGGAAGTTACAAGTGTTTTGTTGGGGTTTTATCAATTAGCTTAATTTGATTTTTAACGGAAAATTTTGGGAAAAAAGAAAGAATGAAAAAAAATTGCCCTCTGATGTTCAAATTTTCTTTCCCCCCCCCCCAAGATCATCAAAAGTAGAGGGGTTTGTGGCTGGGGGGGGGGGGGGGGGAAATAATAAAAATATACACCCCTGTTTTCCTGCTTTGTTATGTCTTCTCACATTATTATCTTAATATATTCCCCGGCCAAGGAGAAAAATAGAAAAACACATAACAAATATTATAATAAATATAATAAATATAATCATGAAAAGGAATGAATAAATGTAATCATTTGCTGGACGCAAGTCATGAAAAAGGGTGTATACATTTTTAATAAAGCCTTTATGTATAAACATGTGCAGTACTGGACAGTGTGTTTACCCTGTTGACAGTACACTGTATGTACAATGTACCGTGTTCTGTAGGATGAACAGTGTATGTGAATGTATACAGTGCTGTGTGTATACCTGCAGTACCTTTACACTGTACAGTACAGTATAAGTCCCTGTGTACTACACCTTATGTTTCTATGTACAACGCTGTGTATTTGCCTCTGTACTTTACAGTGCATAGTGTATGTACCTTTTGCACAGTACTGCATATTTACCTGTGTACTGTACAGTGTACGGTGTATGTACCTATGTACAGTGCAGTGTATTTACTTGCGTAATGTAAAGTGTATGAACCTTTGTACATTGCAGTGTAATTTCCTGTGTAACGTACAGTGTATGTACCTCTGTACAGTATTGTGTATTTACCTGTGTACTGCACAGTGTATGTACCCATACGTACAGTACTGTGTATTTATCTTTGTGCTGTACAGTGTATATACCTATATGTTCAGTACTGCGTATTTACCTGTGTACTGTACAGTGTAAAGTGTATGTAACTATGTACATTACAGCATATTTACCTTTATAGTCTTCAGTAAAGTGTAAAGTGTGTGTAACTACTATAATACGCTTTGTGTCACTTACCTTTTCTCACCATTCATTGCNGCACTGTACAGTGTAAAGTGTATGTAACTATGTACATTACAGCATATTTACCTTTATAGTCTTCAGTAAAGTGTAAAGTGTGTGTAACTATGTACAGTACTGCATATTTACTTGTGCACTGCACATTGTAAAGTGTATGTACCTATGTACAGTACTGCGTATTTACCTGTGTACTGTACAGTAGAAATATTCTGACTTCACTCTTAGCAAGATCCTCTACAGTATAGTTCTTAGATTCTGTTAGCTTGAAAACATCCTGGATTATAAACCTAAACCATAGATTAATAAATATATAGATTTAATAGTATAGTGTATTACAGTTCAGTGAATGCGGTACAGTGTACTGCATTACAATTTCTGTTTAGTGTACCTAATCTACAGTACCGTGTTCTGCTGTACAGTGTACAATGACTGCTACATAGTATACTACAGTAAAGTTTTCTGCTGTACAATGTACTTTAATACAATGAATACTGCAGTACGTTGTGCTGGTGTACAGTACCTGAAAGTATCTTGATATCCTGGTATTTTCTCACGAAATGTCTGCACAAAGTCATCGTGACCTTAAAAAAATCATAAAACTAAAAACAAAAACAAAAAAAAATAGTAAAAGCCAAATGCGGATTGATAAAAATTCTTGAAAAAATAAAAATGGGCTGAGAAAAAATATGTAAAAGTTAGAAGGGTAAAAAATAACTCAAAAAAGTTAATTGGAAAGAACAACTCATATCTAATAAGATAATTAGAATTTAAATGGGAAATAATAATGAACATTTCTTACAACAAAAAAATCATAAGTAAACAAATACAAATGAAAAAAATAAAATGTATTTTATTACTGTCTAACCTGAATATTCGAACATACTTTTTTGTTGCTTCCTCCCCCCCCCATGCCCCACCAGAATAAATAACCACAAATTTCTACGTGCACTTAGTGTGAGTTACGAAATAAAACTAAAATTTCCCCCTATTTTTTTCTTCAATTTTTAAAAATTATGATTTCTCTCACAATTCTTATCTAAAGTCATCTTATACCCTTCGCATTTCTCTTTTAAATTCATAAACCATTCATTTAAATTCATATTTTAATACATATGATTTCCCTCACAATTCTTATCTAAATTCCTATTACCTTTAACATTTCTCATTTAAATTCATAAACCTCTACACAATTCTCATTACATTTATAATCCCCTTTACAGTTCTCACTTTAATTTAAAATTTCCTTCACAAAATAAAGAAAGAATAAAACTTGCCATAAAATGTTTCTAAACTCAACCCCTTCAGGACAATTCAGAATTCCATTATTCCTGTCTTTACCTGCTATTCCACTATTACTGTCTTTACCTGCTATTCCACTATTTCTGTCTTTACCTGCTATTCCACTATTTCTGTCTTTACCTGCTTTTTCACTATTCCTGTCTTTACATGCTATTCCACTATTTCTGTCTTTATATGTTATTCCACTATTCCTGTCTTTACCTGCTATTCTACTATTTCTGTCTTTACATGCTATTCCACTATTCCTGTCTTTACCTGCTATTCCACTATTTCTGTCTTTACGTGCTATTCCACTATTTCTTTCTTTACGTGCTATTCAACTATTCCTTTCTTAACATATTGTTTCGCTACTCCTTTCCTTACCTGTTATTCCACTATTCCTTCCCTTACCTGTTATTCCACTTTTCCTTTCTTTACCTGCTATTCCACTATTCCGTCTTTTTCTGCTATTCCGCTATTCCTTTCTTTACCTGCTATTAGGACTGGACACTTTCCAACTTTTTCAAGCCGTTTCGATAACGGTTTTTCCAACCGTTTTTAAAATAAAATCTCAGGTAGCCGTTAGTTTTAGAGAGTTTTAGTGTTTCACATTTATTTAAAGTTACTGTTAATTAATGATCTCAATTTTATTAACAGCGTGGACGGAAAGTTTTCAGCAATTATTAAAGAATTAAAATTTTTGTTAATGGTTAGTAAAATTGTTACCGGCACAGCCCTTAACGATCTATTACAGTTTAAAGGGAATTGACGGCGCAAAGCGTTGAAAAAAAAAAATTTAAACCACAAAAACATTTAAAAAGTTCTTTTTTTTACAAGTTAAAGGTAATTTTAAGCAAAAAAACGAAATTCGTTTCGTTTTGTTTGCAACCGTTTTTTTTTCTTCAAAAACTTAGCAGTTTCGTTAACGATTTAAAAACTAACGGTTTTTGTCATTAGTTAACAGACACTTCCATTTATTTTCGAAAATCTCCGTTTTGTTAACGGAACTTTGCACAGCCCTACCTGTTATTTATTTATTTATTTATTTACCTGCTATTCCATTATTCCTTTTTTACCTGTTATTCATCTATTCCTTTCTTTGCCTGCTATTCCGCTATTCCTTTCTTTACCTGTTACTACACTACACCCTTTTTTTCCCTTAAAGTTGTTAGTTCATCGTCGAAAAATACTAACAATCCACCACCAGTTATATTCATTGTACTGTAAACAATAACGTAACTTTCCTTTTCCTTTCCTTATCCTTTTTTAGAATTGGGGGGAAATATTCCCACAACCTCTATTTTTGGATTTAGAAAATATTGCATAAATAAATAATTACTTATTTACTTATGATTGTAGATTACACATTTCGAAAAATGTATAGGCGCAGAATTTACTTACTTACCTCTTATTCCACTATTCCTTCTCTTACCTGCTATTTCTGAGGTGACAATACCGAACTGATGCCAATTATATCTAAACATTTTAATAGATTAAACTTTTTCTTTTCATTTCTTCTCTTCCCTTGTCTTCTTTCCCTTGTCTTACCACCGCTTGTTGTCTTTCCCTTGTCTTTCTAACTCTTGTCTACTTTCCCTAATCATGCTACCCCTTGTACACTTTCCCAATTGTCTAATTACCCATTGCCCCACTACCCCTAGTCTACTTTCCCTAGTCTTACTACCCCTTATATATTTTCCCTTGTCTAACTACCCATTGTCTTACTACCCCTCGTATACTTTCCCTTGTCTACTTTTCCTAGTCTTACTACCCCTTGTATACTTTCCCTAGTCTTCCTAGCCCTTGCCTACTTTCCCCTTGTCTTACTACCCCTTGTCTTACTACCCCTTGTCTTACTACCCCTTGTCTTACTATCCCTTGTCTTACTAGTCCTTGACTTATGGCCTTGTCTTGCTACCCCTTCTCTACTTTCCCTTGACTCACTACCTCTTGTCTATTTTCCCTTGTCCTCTTTCCCTAGTCTCAATGCCCCTTGTCCACTTTTGTTTGGCGTATTATCCTTTTCTTACTACCTCTTGTCTACTATTTCTTGTTTTACTACCACTTGTCTAATCATCACTTGTCTTATTATCTTTATTCTACTTGCTTGCCTTTGACTTCTTTTCCTTAAGTTTTTTCCCTTGACCTTTTTCCCTCAACTTCTTTACCTTGACTTATTTCCCTTGTCTAACTAACCCTTGTTTTTCTACCCATCGCTTTGGTACCCCTTTTCATTCTTTCCCTTTAATAATTACCAGTTGTCTAATATTCCCTTGTCTTACTACCCTCGTCCAATATTCCCTTGTCTTACTACCAGTTGTCCAATATTCCCTTGTCTTACTACCCTCGTCCAATATTCCCTTGTCTTACTACCAGTTGTCCAATATTCCCTTGTCTTACTACCAGTTATCCAATATTCCCTTGTCCTACTTACAGTTGTCCAATATTCCCTTAACTTACTACCAGTTGTCCTTCCCTTGTCTTACTACCCTCGTCCAATATTCCCTTGTCTTACTACCAGTTGTCCAATATTCCCTTGTCTTACTACCAGTTATCCAATATTCCCTTGTCTTACTGCCAGTTGTCCAATATTCCCTTGTCTTACTACCAGTTGTCCAATATTCCCTTGTCTCACTACCAGATGTCCAATATTCCCTTGTCTTACTGCCAGTCGTCCAATATTTCCTTGTCCTACTTACAGTTGTCCAATATTCCCTTAACTTACTACCAGTTGTCCAATATTCCCTTTTCTTACTACCAGTTATCCAATATTCCCTTGTCTTACTACCAGTTGTCCAATATTCCCTTGTCTTACTACCAAACGTCCAATATTTCCTTGTCCTACTTACAGTTGTCCAATATTCCCTTAACTTACTACCAGTTGTCCAATATTCCCTTGTCTCACTACAAGATGTCCAATATTCCCTTGTCTTACTACCAGTCGTCCAATATTCCCTTGTCTTACTTACAGTTGTCCAACATTCCCTTGTCTTACTACCAGTTGTCCAATATTCCCTTGTCTTACTACCAGTTATCCAATATTCCCTTGTCTCACTATCAGTTGTCAAATATTCCCTTGTCTTACTACCAGTAGTCCAATTGTCCCATGTCTTACTACCAGTTGTCCAATATTACCTTGTTTTACTTACAGTTGTTCAATTGTCTCTTGTCTTCCTACCAGTTGTCCAATATTCCCTTGTCTCATTACCAGATGTCCAATATTCCCTTGTTTTACTTACAGTTGTCCAATTGTCTCTTGTCTTCCTACCAGTCGTCCAATATTCCCATGTCTCACTACCAGATGTCCAATATTCCCTTGTCTTACTACCAGTCGTCCAATATTCCCTTGTCTTACTACCAGTTGTCCAATATTTCATTGTCTTACCACCAGTTATCCAATATTCCCTTGTCCTACTACCAGTTGTCCAATATTCCCTTGTCTTACTACCAGTTATCCAATATTCCCTTGTCCTACTACCAGTTGTCCAATATTCCCTTGTCTTACTACCAGTTATCCAATATTCCCTTGTCTTACTACCAGTTGTCCAATATTCCCTTGTCTCACTACCAGATGTCCAATATTCCCTTGTCTTACTACCAGTCGTCCAATATTCCCTTGTCTTACTTACAGATGTCCATTATTCCCTTGTCTTACTACCAGTTGTCCAATATTCCCTTGTCTTACTGCCAGTTGTCCAATATTCCCTTTGTGTTACTATCAGTTGTCAAATATTCCCTTGTCTTACGACCAGTAGTCCAATTGTCCCTTGTCTTACTACCAGTTGTCCAATATTCCCTTGTTTTACTTACAGTTGTCCAATTGTCTCTTGTCTTCCTACCAGTTGTACAATTGTCCCTTGTCTTACTACCAGTTGTCCAATTGTCCCTTGTCTTCCTACCAGTTGTAAAATTGTCTCTTGTCTTACTACCAATTGTCCAATTGTCTCTTGTCTTCCTACCAGTTGTCCAATTGTCCCTTGTCTTACTACCAGTTGTCCAATTGTCCCTTGTATTCCTATCAGTTGTCCAATTGTCCCTTGTATTCCTACCAGTTGTCCAATTGTCCCTTGTCTTACTACCAGTTGTCTACTTTCCCTTGTCTTACTAATCCTCCTACTTTCAATTGACTTATTTCTCTTGTTTTACAAACTCTTGCCTACTTTCCCTTGTCTTACTATCCCTTGTAGTACTACTCCTTTATTTATTTCCCTTATTTGGGGAAATATTCACACAACCTCTATTTTTTAAATATTCTCCTGAAACACTTAAATTTGTATATTTTTGATATATCTCATAAATAAAAAAATTACTTACTTATTTACTATCTTAAAACTCTTGTTTTACTTCCCTTACTACCCCTGGTCTTACTACCCCTTATCTTATTTCCTTTTGTTTACTTTCCTTCATCTTCTTTCCCTTGACTTCTTTCACTTGATTTATATCCCTCGTCGTACTACTCCTTGTCTTTCTACCCATCATATTGATACCCCTTGTCATTCTACCCCTTGTTTAACTACCTGACAAGAATGGAGAGCATGGCTGAAACCTGGTGTTCTATTGTTGGGGCTGAACAAATTAAAATGATTTAAAAAATTTAATTATAATTTTTGACATTTAATATAGTTAATGATTTTTCTCTTAGATTTCTATTTATTCTGAATGCTTGGAAATAATTTGATTCTAAAATATTGACGTTTCAAATTAAAACATATCAGAAGGACGTCAGAAAATATCAAAACTTAAAAACAAAAATTAAATAAATTAAAATGATGATACCAAGAAAGAATATAAGGAGGGAGGGATAATAGGATTGAGAGATAATGGGATGGAGGTATAATGTGATGGAGGGATAATAGGATGGAGGGATAATATAATGGAGGGATTATAGAATGGAGGGATACTAGGATGGAGGAGTAATAGGATGGAGGGATAATAGGATGGAGGGATTATATGATGGAGAGATAATAGGATGGAGGAGTAATATGATGGAGGAGTAATAGGATGGAGGAGTAATAGGATGGAGGAGTAATAGGATGGAGGGATAGGATGGAGGGATAATATGATGGAGGAATAATAGGATGAAGGAGTAATAGGATGGAGGAGTAAAACAATGGAGGGATAATAGGATGAAGAGATAATAGGATGGAGGTATAATAGGATGGAGAGATAATAGGGTGGAGGAGTAATAGGATGGAGGAGTAATAGGATGGAGGGATAATAGGTTGAATGAATAAATAATTAAAATGGCTTATACCTAACTGAAGTTTACCAATAGATTTCTGTCCATCTTGGAAGGTTCTCTGGAATACAGTTTAAATACATATATATATATGTGAATATATAGATTATAGATAGATAGATATATAAATAAAGATAGGGTCAGTTTCATTTGCCATAATATTTTTGCCATAAATACTTTTGTCATAATTACATTTGCCATAATACATTTGCTATAAGTAACACTTGCCTTAATTTCACTTGCCATAATTAAAATTAAATTTGGCTAGAATTAACGAACATATATTCTTTTTAAATTACAAATTAAATACAATTTTACAAATCTAATTCAGAGACAGTTCGAATTCGGGTTCGAATTCTAGCTGAGCACATTTTAACCGAACATTTCCAATATTTCACTTCTGTAAACGAAACATTGGCTACATAGGTGTAGTTGTTGCTGTCTCGAACCATTGGATTACCTTTACTTGTGGTCTCAAAGGTCACTAAAGGGTCCTCCATTGTGAGAAAATTAGGAGCTGAACTTGTTACAACTGTTTTGTTTAAAAAAAACAGAGGATTAAGCATTAATCCTGATATCCACCATTCTAAAGTTCCCAGCTCTGTTCTGTTTTAAAACAATGAGAAAACTAAAGTTGGGAATTTTCATGGTCAAATTTCCCGCATTTACAATAAAAAAGACAGATTTATAGCTTTTTTAAAAAGTAGAAAATTATGACAAGTAATTATGGAAAGTGTAATTATGGTAAGTGTAATTATGGTAAGTGTAATTATGGCAAGTGTAACTTATGGCAAGTGTAACTTATGGCAAAAGTATTTTGGCAAATGAAACTGAGCCACAGATAGATATACAGATATACAGATAAATAGATAGATAGCCAGATAATTACCAGATGATGTAACAAGGATTAGTATCCTACCTTCTCTAGTCCTGAATTATCTGGATTCCAAGCTATCACTGGTATACCAAGGTAAGCTGCTAACTGGAGAAAATACTGGGAGGAGGCAGTTGACCGACCGTACCTACCAATATAACCGGGTCAACAGGGTGTTCCAATACACATGGAAATTAAATGACGACCTGTAAATTACCTTTGTTCCATGATTTAATTTTAAAGATAAAAGAAGTTAGACCTCGTTTTGGAAAGCACATTAGACTTTCAATCTTTTCTTGGTGCACTTTCTGTCATTTATCAATTATCGGAAATCATAGACGATCTTCTAGTCGTCTCTTAATTCCCATGGTTATTGGGACACCCTGTATTTACACCATTTTGCAACTAAAGCACTTTCAAGGGACAGGGCATGGATTTAATTGTGGTTGTGGATTGCTTACTACTTTATTTTAAACAAACTTCCTTATCTATAGCACCCTTCAAATGATAGAGTACACATGCTATGTAGAGTACTCAATTCGGACCTGATAGGATCTAAAGATATTCTACATAGCACTGCTGAGAATGTACATGCTCTCATCTGAGTAATGCTGCGATGAGTAAATACATTTAAAACAATGTAGTGATATTTTAAAGAAAAGAGATTATTATGCTTCCATAAAAAAAATCATGTCATTTTAACCCATTGTCTCTGTTTCTGTCATGAAAATTATAAACTATTAGATATTTCTAATGCACAAAATATTCACGTAAAAAGCTCTAGCTACGGTTACGGACACTGTTTCCTTCTGAGACTGTGGAAAAGTTAGTGGAAATGTATAAAATGTTTTATGTTATTAAAATTTTATTCAAAGTTGTTAAAACAGCCAAAACTTTTCTTGAAATTCATTTCATTTCTTAAATTTTTAATTTTTCTTGTTTCATTTTGGAATTAATTTGTATTAAATTTTTTTGCAGGTTTCTGAAAATGCCTGAATTAAATATAATTAATCTGAAAAACTAACCCTAAAGGGACTGTAAACGTAAATTCAAGTGAACCTCCATTTATAGAGTGGCATGTCCGATTTACATTACAAACCTACCATTTTCTGAGGAAAAATGATGGAGTTATCTCTCTTTTTCTATCTTAAACTTCATTATTTTCATTTACGGTCTTTTTTACAGACTGTCGAATTCAGCCAACAGAAGAAAGAACGAAAATGGTAAGAATTTTGCAGTTTTTTCACACAGAAAAATTTTAATGTCTTCTTGTGTTCCTGGAAGTTTTATATAGTGTACATTACACTCTATAACTGGAGGGTCACTTGAAATATCGTGTACGCTGTCCTTTTCTGTTTTCATTTTATTTAACTATTTACTCCCCTCGTTAGTTTTCTTTATGCTAAAATAAAAAAGAATGCTTTGACACATTTTATCAGATAAAATTATATTAGTTTTCTCGTGTCATTGCTAGCCAGGGGATTAAAAATAGTTTGACTTTAGTGAGACACATGAAACTATGCAATAGAAGACGACATTAACGTAATAATTAATATTTTAATGTTGATACAAAGCAAATAGATTTAATGTTAACTTTAAATCTTTTTTTATTTAAATGGGTCTGTTTACACTGCGCGATTGCTATCTCTCATCTTAAAATGTAAACTTAAAGTTATATCTTGAGTCTAAAAGTCGTCTCCAAATATTTCAGACGACACTTTATGTTGTTATTTGTTTCATTATATAGTTTTACTGCATTACCTTAAAATTGTTGTATATTTAGTGTTGATTATTAAGAATAGTTATTTTAGTCTTCACTTAACAGTTTTATGAGTCTCACTTATGTTTATCATATCATCTATCAGCAAATATAATCCTTATTGGTGTTGTTTTTTCATATATCATACAATATCTAAACCAAAAATTGCCCCCTCCCCCTTTCCTAACCCGCCGCACGATAATTTAACCTTTATATAAAAACCATTTCAGATCTAATTGATTTATAATCAAAGATAACATTTAATTACTTTCCACAAATATATTTTTTATTTGATTTATTGCAAAATAAAAACCTTTTTTATACCTTTCAGTATCTGTGAGATATATAATTGCAGCACTGGAGTTTCTTATTTGGTCACACAGTAGATCTAGGATATCTAAACAAGGATATAAAGTAGTAAAATATCTAAACAAGGATATAAAGTAGTAAAATATCTAAACAAGGATATAAAGTAGTAAAATATCTAAACAAGGATATAAAGTAGTAAAATATCTAAACAAGGATATAAAGTAGTAAAATATCTAAACAAGGATATAAAGTAGTAAAATATCTAAACAAGGATATAAAGTAGTAAAATATCTAAACAAGGATATAAAGTAGTAAAATATCTAAACAAGGATATAAAGTAGTAAAATATCTAAACAAGGATATAAAGTAGTAAAATATCTAAACAAGGATATAAAGTAGTAAAATATCTAAACAAGGATATAAAGTAGTAAAATATCTAAACAAGGATATAAAGTAGTAAAATATCTAAACAAGGATATAAAGTAGTNACCTCTGGGGGGTGGAGACACAGCAACCTACCTCTGGGGGGTGGAGACACAGAAACCTACCTCTGGGGGGTGGAGACACAGCAACCACTTCATCGAAATTTATAGAATCATCTGGAGCTCGTAACTCCTGTCTTCTGCTAAACTCAAACCTAAATCAAGGAATTAATATAAAGTATTTGAACTAGCTGTATTGCTGGTTGAACTAATTCTCTTTTCAACCGTTGACCACAGATATCAGAGAATTTTTTCATTAAACCTTTCATAGTTTAATTTTACTTTAAATCTTTAATTCCAAGCACAGAGAAAAAATCAAATATCAAGAGGTGATCTATTAATCGTTTATGTGCTTATTTGATTGAATCCAAAAGCCGCCAAAGCTGTTAAAAGCCGATCAGACCTAACATTTTGTAGTAACTGACATAACCCCAGGAAATGTTTATTTCCGGTGAAAATAGAACAATGTTGCCTACACTTGTTGCTTGAAATAAAAACACGAAGTGCTCTAAAAGTCTTCTCATGAATATTTCATAAAAGCTATAGGCAACCAGAAGTTTCACTTTTTCATCCATTTTTTTCACCTGTAGCTCTCGTTGATTGCAAGCAACACATTCTGAAAAACTTTAATAATTAGCTTTTGCTTTTTTGTAGATATTAATATCAACATATAAGTTTTAAAAATAAAAATATTTACCCGGTCAAGGTTGCTAACAAGAGGCAGACATTAGGTAAAATAAAAATAGTAAAAATTTTGTTATAAAAATCAATTTTGATAAAATAGCTAGATCTATTATTCACATCAACCAAGTGGTTTTCAAACTTAACTTTTTCAGAAACAAAAGAGTAACAAGGAAAACGAGAACGATACAAGAGTAGATGAGAAAATATTTGCCTATTCACAACATTACCCTTCCAAATGTTGTCCGGGATCCTTGTTTTTCTCTCTAAAAATGTATGCATTCAAATTACGGCTAATCTATTATTATTCCATGGTTATGTGCAAGACAGGAAAGGAAATAAAAATGGGTTTTCCTTTTTTATTTTTTTTTATTTAATTGTTGGTAATCGAATATGTAACTCTATGTAAACAAAGGGTCGGCAAACTCCAGCTTTAGAATGATGTTTTTTTGGTTCGGGTTTTAATACTGTGAATATTTCAAAATTGTGTTCTGTAAAAGATAGCTTTTATGAAGCTTTGCAATACTTTTATGATGAGAAAATAAATGGGAAAAACTAATCAAAAACGATCATTTAACGCGATCATTTTTATTTCGTGTTTTAAATACATTTTCTCTTAGGGTAAAAATTTGGCATAGTGCAAGAAATGCAATCTTTAGAATAAATAACTTTGAAATTTTATAAATCTTTGTGGAACCTCTAAAAGTCCAAAAACCCTCAATTTAAAAAAACCGAACCAAGCAATGTCTCATATCTAACTGTACATATCAAACAGTTAAAATAATCTATAAAAATAAACCAAAATATTATGAAAAAGTTTGTTCTTGATGTTAGATTAATTTTGTTTACATCTTTATAATTTGTTTTTGCAGTTTCTATTACTTCTTGTTTGTTGTTCTTATATATTTGCTTTTTCTTATTTCAACTAAACTACATTCTGACAAAGAATATTGTAACAAATTTTCAAACCAGGAGCAATACTTGTAACAAATAAAAATAGTTACAAAGAATTATTTGATAATTTGAGAACCAATTTGAGAAACCGAAGATATGTTTTTCATTTTAACAGATACCATGAGAACCAAGTTTTTTAAACTCTATTTTGTGGCAATTATCTATTGTTTAAGGGAGAGACCGGCTGTATAGCTATGTAATATATTTAAACTGAGAATACAGTATTGCAGAGAAAAGCTTTAGGATTCTTTTGATACTAATAAGACATGTTTACGGTGTACCACTCCTGTATGCCGAGTCCAACAGCGCCTGATCCAATGAGGGTTCAGCCATGTGTTTGTAGTGACGTACAAGAAATTATAGTGACGTACAAGAAACTATAGTGACGTACAAGAAACTATAGTGACGTACAAGAAACGTTTTTTTTTTTAATTCTTGAATAACATGCAAACAGGTTGAAGAAAGATAATGAACTTCTATCATAGGAAATATTTTTTAAAAATTCATTCCAAANCTTTATTTAAATTGTGAAGACGACATTTTGAAGAAATTTTCAAAAAAAAAATACAGAAACAGCAAAGGTAATAGTGATAATGAAATTATCGATTCTACGGTTCTACAATGGCTTTCATTGATAATTTATTTTAAGAAAAATGTTCCTAAACAGCATATTAGTTTATAAATACACTTTTATAAATGTTTTGACAGGGTTATTTAATAATTGTAAAAAACCTTTCTTCTGCTGGCTGAAACATACTGGTGAAATATTACAAACAAACGCTCTTATAAAAGAATTGAACACCGTAAAAATGTATTATTGGTATCAACTTAATTCTAATGTTTTTCTCTAGAATACTACACTTTCAGCTTGAACATGTTACATAGCCGGTCTCTCCCTTTAAATAACGCCACATCGTACTATTGTAAATCAGGTATGGTAAGGTCTTTATGTTCGTGAAATTTTAATAATCACTACTATAATGTCCGCCTGCCTAAGACTGCTTGAAATAATCTGTAAATATCTACGTTTCCTCTCCAACCATTGGGTGTGCGGGACTATTATACCAAGTTTCAGAAATACTCTAAAATGGAAAGAGTTAAAGGGAGTGTTCAAATTATTCAAAATACCTTAAATTTTGATTTCAGGATTTCTGGGAGCCAGGAAGTCCAAACATTATTTGTTGAATAAGTGTCGTAACTATATATTTCATCATATCATTATTTACAGTTTGAAAGAACCTGTAAAATCTTTCCCTGAGATGTTTAGAAAGATGAAAATTTCCCTTTATGATAATTGAGGGACTGAAGTATGGTTTTGGTGAATTATATTGGCGTACTAAGCCTAGGGGTGTCAGAAATGATTTTTTTTGCATATTTTTAAAAACTTCTATAAAACTTCTAAAGTTTAATTTTTGATGAAACTTTTTGTTCTGGATGATTGCAAATATCTATCTAAAACTTTCTTAAACCGGCATATTTTTTCTATATTCATTTAGTTAAGAGTTTGAGTCAAAATAAGTATTAATAAATATTGCGTTATATCGAGTAGATATCCTTAAACATACCGATGTAAAACCTTTCAGAAAGTAGGAAAGATTCTGCAGAAAAAAGTTGCCAAACCAAACAGAATTTTTATTTTGAACAAATATATTTAGAACTTTTATAGAAGCTTTTCTGGGTTGCACTTTACTCTAGTTTTGCATTATTTTCATTTGTGTAAAACAGTAAAAAAGACATTCTGTTGATGGTTTAAAACTAAACAGCTGATGATTCATTGGAGGGAGGAATGGCAAAAACACCAATTTGTAATTCTAAAATCTTTTCATGATTGTGACAGGTAATACTGAGTGCTTCAGGGTACAGGGTACTACAATGTACTGCAAAGTACTGGGCTTTACTGGGGTATACTGGGGGGAGGGGGTACTGGTACCGAAGCCAAACAGAAAATTTTTTTTAATAAAAATATATAAGTAGAATTTGTGTCGAGTGTTCATTTTCCTTGTTAGATGAAAATACACCCCAAAAGTACGTGACAGAAATTTACAGTTTGAACTATAAAAACTTGGAATGATGTAGGGAAGGACAAAGATTCATATTCTCTGTTCTGTGTGCACTGTGAAGGGATTAGAAAGATAGGAAAAAGATCAGACGTACTTTTTTAAAATTCGTAAAACATACTACTTGCTAACTTTTTTTAGAGAGTTAAAGGGCCTGAACAGAATTTATGCCACAAACAATAATTATCAAATTCCTATATCTTTGTAATACAATAAAGTTAAACTACAAATTCTACGAGATTAAATAATCCAAATTTGAAATATCAAAGGTTTACACCATCAGGTTCCAAAGAGATAAGGATTAGAAAATTTGAGTTTGGGACAAAAAACTCAATTCCTTTCCAGTAAACCTTTATGCAAAAATGACAATGCCCAATTTACAACAGGTATTTATCTAATCAAAAATGTGAAAGATACAATCCTTTCTCTGACTCCAAAAGTGTTGATTTCTGTGAATTTCTCTATTGCTTCTTATAAGCAAGAAATGCGCAAGCCACTTTCGCAAAGAACCCGCAAATGAAAATGAAAAGTTTAAAGAATCAAAAACATTAATTTATAATTCATACTTGACCAGCCAAAGCTTTTAAGGGTACCGTTGTGAATCAGGCATTACCTTTACACATATAGGCTCTTTAATGCGGCTTATTTTCATATTTTAAATTTAACATTTTTAAATTCTAAATTTTCAAAGTTTAAATTTTCAAATTTTTAATTTTTAAATTTTAAAATTTAAATGTTTTGATTGATAAATAAATGAATAAGTAAAATTATTGAACAGCTCGAGGCTGTATAATTGAATTGATGTTGGACAAAATTAATTATAAATTAATTATTAATTAATTATTAAAAATTGGATATTGAAAAACTTGCCTGTGATCAAAGGTTTCTTCGCTGTAGATAATACTATGCTCTGAAGAATAGAAAAATAGATAAATAAATAAAAAAAAAAAAATATAAAAAATGAAAAATATAAAAAATGAAAAATATAGATTATCGTGAGACGTAAAACAATTTGCTTAGTCAAATTCATTTTTAAACGTGAAGTTAAAAATTTACTCAAATTGAAACAAATATTCATATGAATAGATAGATAGATAGATAGATAGATGGAAAGATAGATGGATAGATAGATATAAAGATAGATAGATAGATAGATAGATAATTTTGGACGATTTTTTAGATTTGACGGCCAACGCCTCAAACACTTAAATAACTAGTTTTTTAATATAACCCATAATATAGAGCTTGAGTGATAAATGAAAGTAGAAACTCACTTTTTTAACGATACTTATTTAGATAAACCAAAATGGAATTTTAAAAATAAGTTTTATTTTAATCTTTTTTCTTTTCCTGGTCGACGACCCCCTTTCCTGTTTCCGTAGATATCGATTCCTCCACACCCCTCTAAACAAAAGTATTAATAATAGGGAAAATACAGTGGTCCAAAGGATTGCAGGCTCTCAAGCAAAATTTTCCCAATTACTCCATGAAAATAAAAGTTAAAAACATGTGATTTAGATTTCTAAGATGTACAGTGGCCGAATTTAAAGAATTTGAGCGGCGGTTTAAATTTAAGCCGCGGCTTAAATATGGTTGGTTCCACTTAAAATTGTATCAAATGTTTCAAGATTTAAGCCGGCGCTTAATTTAAACCGGGTTTTGGCAGATTTAAACCGCGGCTCAAATTCTTTAAATTCCATCTCAGGTCTATTGTTTAAGACTAGACAAAAAAGTATAAATAAGTTCAAGCCCAAGGCGGTATGACAGTTTAAAGTCGACCCAATCTTAATAATTGATGCTACTTTTCATAGCATGTGAAACTTTTTAATTAAAAATGTAAAATTATTTTTTCTTTAGCGAGAACTAAAAGCAAAGGAATTGAGTCTTTGTCACAAACTCTGATTTTCTTATCCCCATATCTTAAGATCCCAATGTCGTAGACCTTAGATATTTCAAACTTTGGATTCTGCTAGAACAAATGTACTAAGTTTGAAATATCAAAGGTTTACACCTTGCAAATATATTGGCATTAGCAAATATGACTTTGTGAATAAGACTCAATTCCTTTATTAAACAAAGAAATTGAAAAGAATCTACAGCGTTTAGTTTAATTAACAAATTGAAAAAAAAAAAACATAGATCACAAGGGAAGGTCGATTTTCCAACTTAAATAAAAATGTCAATATGTCGAGATCAAAAGCTTTTCCGTTTCTATAAAGTCTGTGTTTCACAACGGATATTTTTTGGTTTACATTAGTGATTTAAACAAAAAAGCGTTTGAAAGAGTTTGAAATTATAAAAAAAATAGTTTTAAAATCTTTAACAAAGAACTGTTACAATTTGAGCAGTTTTACAAGAATTACAATTAAAAAATTAATTTCTAGAACTAATAAGCTTTAATTAGAAAAAATATAAATTTTTATTCTCATCGTTTTCCTATCATTAAATATATGTAAAACTTTAAACTTAAATCTTGAAAGTTTCAACAAATTTCTAAATTTTAAATCCCAGGCTTAGTATAATGTCCTTATACTGAGCTAGATGTACAGTGCACACATTGAAAATTGAAAATAAAAAAGTTTTAAAAATAAAATTGAAAAATAAAATTGTTTAATAATTTACCTAATGTAAGAAGAAAGAGAACCTTGCACCATAGCATATCAACACACAGACTGAATACAACCTTTTTTTAACATATTTATTTTTATAATTTTAATTTTACCAACATTCTATTAATAATCAGAAGATAGCAATTAGCAGCTGCTGGTTTTTTGCAATCTTTGTTTTAAAATCTCCATTTTCTTGTTCATGGTTTGTTGCGTCATCAATTATATTCGGCTGTTTTTTAAAAAGAAAGAAAATTTTCTACAGGCATCTTCTGCCAAAACTACAACATCCTTTTAAATTCACATAAAAATATTAAAAAAATAGTTGAACTTGCTATTCTAAGCTGAAATGCAGGTTTTTTTCTTAATAATCTTAAAACGGCTTACTCTAGAATATGCAAAGTTTGAGCGTTTTGGCGTAAGCCTATTTTACATTTCTGAGGAAAACCATACGGGGGGGGGGACTCAATCGTCACATAGGGTTAAAAAATAAAACCTGCAGAAAGAAATTTAAACATACCTATTATGCAAGAGAAAGTCAATTGTAGATGTAAAATATTTTTAAATTTTATGATTTCTGAAATAAAGTATAAACGTAATTTTATAACCAAATATTTAATAGAACTGAGTATTGGTGTACTTTATTAAACCAGTACATAAACAATGATATTGTACTCAATTTAACCAATAACAAAAACTGATAATGTACTCTATTAAACCAGTACATACACACTGATATTGTACTCAATTAAACCAATACATAAACACTAATACACCAACCAATACACAAGCAGTTGTATTGTACTCTATTAAACCAATACATAAACACTGATATTGTATTCTATTAAACCAATACACAAACACTGATATTTTGCTCAATTAAACAATGACACAAACACTGATATTGTACTCTATTAAACCAATACACAAGCACTTATATTGTACTCTATTAAACCAATACATAAACACTAATATTGTACTCTATTAAACCATTACACAAGCACTTATATTGTACTCTATTAAACCAATACATAAACACTGATATTGTATTCTATTAAACCAATACACAAACACTGATATTGTGCGAATTGTGCTCAATTAAACAATGACACAAACACTGATATTGTACTTAAATGTGAACATAGCAGACGAAACTCTTACAGATTACAGCTTTCTCAGAAGGTATCACTATACTAAATCAAAGAATTATTTAAAAAGAAGATATCGAATTCGTCACTGAATTCCCATGTTTATTGGGACACCCTGTACATACACATCTCAAAGAACTTACTGCCCGAGGTGTAAAAAGTAAGTTCTAGAAAATAAAGTCACAAAGTGATAAAACTCAATTTCCAGATACATTTTTATTTTAAGAACTTTTCTTCCACAGGACTTTTTTAGGGCCAAATGTTAGAACTTTATTTTCGAAAACTATTTTAACGAGAACATTTTTGGCGGTTACCGTTTATGTTTGGTTTAGTACAGATAACGTGGTAAAATTAAAATTTCCAATTTTATGAAATATTGTAAAAATACAGCAGAGTTTACTTCATGGTAAAATATATTATATTTTCAGATGATTTATGCCATACACAGTCAGAGCTGGGAACTTTTGAATGGTGGATATCGGGATTAAGGCGTAATCCACTCTTTTTCTTAATCTCCAGATTAACATAATCTTGCAAGATTATCTTAAAAGTGTATGAAAAACGATAAAATTCAAATTAATATTTAATCATTTGAGAAACTGTAGCAGCCAATCAGAGAAAAGCTGGCAACCAATGAGAGAACAGAAATATTCTCATTGTTGAAAACAATTAACGGATATCCGAGGAGAGAGAAAAAGAGTGGATTAAGGACTAAAATGAAAAGTTTCCACAGTGGATATTCGGATCAAGAAGTCAGGATTAAAGTTTATCCATTCTAAAGTTTTCAGCTCAGATCAAATAAACAATACAAAAAAACTTGATTTATCAGTTAACTCACCTCAAAATCTAATTTTTTTATCCTTATATCTTTGCAATCTAATGGTGCAAAACATTCATATTTTAAAGTATAACTTTTTGATCTCGCAGAATTTTTGGATTGGAGTTTGTTGCAAGTAATAGTTCCTTTGCGGCATGATGTAACTTTTCTGTGGATTGTATACAAGCATAAATATACCAAAAGATATAAAAGTATTTATGCTTTTTTACAACGATGCAATGATTTCTGTAAATTATTCTTCAAATATACATGTATTATCTATACATAAAAAGTAATAATCTCTGTTTGTATGACCGATCACAACTCAGGAACCCCATTAACGATTTGCTTCAAATTTTGATTGGGGAACTCTATATAACCACAGGAATGTTCTTAGCTAGGTTAACTATTATAAAGAACACTTGCAATTTATAAAGCAAAAAAGAAATTCAACGTTTTAAAAAAATCAGTTTCGTTTTCGTTTTCAACCGTCAATTTTGATTTCAAAACGGCTAATCCGTTTCGTTAACGATTTAAAAATTAACGGTTTTTGCCGTTCGTTAACGGATTCTTACGTTTATGTTCGAAAACCTCCGTTTCGTTAACGGAACTTTGTCCAGCCCTAGCAATACCTATAGCTATGAAAGGAAAGGGCAAAATCGAGCTTAGGCTTTAATTTTGATGCTAAATAACATGCTAAGCCTTAAAAACGTTCTGATTACCTAATGTTCACACTTAAAACGTGCTGATAACTTGTTGTTTTGCTGATAAAAACGTGTAAACCAAAGATATGTTAGATTAAGAATAATTTAGAATAAGATTCAAGATTAAAGTATTAATAAAGGGATCAGTATATATGTTTATACTAGAAAGGGATTTATATTTAAAGCACAATTATTAGATGGAACACATTTTCTCAAGGTTTCAACTCAATCTGAGATTTACCTGAAAATACCGTGCTTTTGCATATTAAAAGGACTGTAAGCGTAATATTGCAATATCCGACTCACAACTCTGTACCTTTCGAAGGTATGAGTGCTATTAACCTTAACACCTGATTATTTTTAATTGGATGACTTTCGCATTTCTATTGCAGGGAAAGTATCAACATTAAACTCCTTTAAACCTAGAAAATCGAAAAAATCTCCACATTACTACTCAGATTCTTAAAGGGGGTGTCGTGAAATATGAAAGAGGGTATAATATAGTCTTACGTCCAAAAATATTCGATGGAGATTGCTACTAAACTTACTTCTATATGTTGCGTTAAGGAGAAAAATGTTAAAAACGACTCACACCGCCGAAGAACGTAGCATTACAAAAAATTTCAATATTCAAATCGGATCGTAAAAAAATCTATTTAATTCCATGCAAAACATTCAGATATTGCAATTTATAATCATCGATTTTTTTCGACGCATTCGTATATTGTTGATATTTAATAACATTTTTTCTTGTTTCATATTGGATGTACTTTAAAAGACGATTTTTTTTGGTCGCTAGAGGTGTCGTTGGATTCTTTTCCACGTGGAACCCCAGAAAAATTGAGAGCAAAGACACCTAGCGTCCAAATAATCCTCGTTTAAAGTATATTGTAATATTGTATATTGTTTAAAGTAAATGAGACAAGTAGATAAACAATATTAGGAAGTATCAACTATAAACTATTGCGTCGATTACGATCCAAGTTGAATGTTGCAACTTTCTGAACTTTTATAGACGCTACGTTCTTCGGTATGAGTCACTTTTAACAATTTTCTCCTTATAGACGCAACAGATAGAAGTAGGATTAGTAGCAATCATCATTGAATATTTTTCGACGTAAGCACCCTCTTTCATTTTTCGCGAACACTCCCTCTAAGATTACCGTTCTGACTCGGACATTGCTTGGAGATTACCTTGAAATTACGCATACAGTCCCTTTTAACATATCATTAACTAAACTGCACTGTAGGATCTTTTAACATATCATTAACTAAACTTTACTTATGCAAGGAAAGTTATTTCAGAGGTGTACGCATTTTTTGTACTGCAGTGTACTGTCTTTGGGCGGAAAAGTAAACACAAGACGGATATCACAGCCTGACATGGAATCAATTTTCACAAAAATAATCTATGAAATATTCTGGTCTATAGGAAACTATTATGTGAACTTTCAAAAGTATCGAAATTAAATGCTTTTAACAACCTCAGTGTTTGTTTGGTGAGTGTTAAGAAAATACCGCACTTTGTTTACTATAACCTTTTTACTTGAAAAAATCTTCTTAGAAATCAAAACTTAATAAGAAAAGTCGTCAACATGTATAATTATAAACGCTGATCCCTTTATAAGAAATTTAAAACATTTTGGTCTTCTTAAAAGCTCTTAAATAAAGTTAGTCATGATTAAATAAAAATAAGATTTCAATCTTACGCGCAATTTATTTTAAGTTCACGTGAAGAATATTAAAAAAGTGCATTTTCGTTTCATTTAATATCAGACTGGGGCGTCTTTTTTATTTGTCACGTTAATGGGACTGTAGCAAAGCTTAATTTCAAGTGACAATATTCACGCAAGGTACTCTTTAAAGTTTTTTTTTCAATCAAGTATAAATAGTATATCCATGTTTATAGTTTTATAAACTGATTATTTTGTGTAAAAGTGATTTGAAAATTGAACAGAGTCAAACACTTTTCAATTTGATGATATATTCCACAATCACATTAACTTCAGGGTCACTTAAAAAGGTAGTTTTCGCGAAAAATGAAAGGGGGTATAGGTTTACGGCAAAAAATAAGCGCTTTTATCGCAGCGTCTACAAGGAGAAAATTGCTGAAAACGACTCACACCGAAGAACTTAGTCATTGATTATTTTTCGAAGCATTCGTATAAAGTTAATATTTCATATTTTTTTTGATTTAAAAAAAAATATATTTTGCTGGCGCTGAATTTTCGAACATTCCTAGAATATATGAAAATTTCGTCTTTTTAAAAATCTTCGAAACAGGAATAAGTGTTTTCAAAAGAAACATCCTGATCATAAAAAATGAAATATCAATTATGTACAAATGCTTCGAAAAATAATCGATGTTTGTAATATCTGAATGATTTGTTTGGAAATAAATTCTTTGTTTTAAGATCTGAGTTGAATGTTGGAACTTTCTGAATTTGCATGAACGCTACGTTCTTCAGTATAAGTCGTTTTCAACAATTTTCTCCTTATTGACGCAACAGATAAAAGTAATATTAGTAGTGATCAAATGCGATTATTTTTCGCCGTAAGCTTATACCCCTTTCATTTTTCGCGAACACTCCCTTTAAAATTACGCTTATAGTCTACAGCTTGTAGTCAGAGATTCTATTAGTTGGAATAACTATTCCATAAACTTTATTTTTTATACACATGTCGTGCCAAGACGTGGAATGAGAATGTTTATTTTCTATTGATATTGATTACATAAAATATATATTATTCATTCATATTTATTTAGGATTTTATTTACTTATATATACATATCTTTGACGTTTATTGGATAAACGGACAGACAAACATACAGATTTTTATTGGGCAACTGCCAAACAAGTTTTCTCAAAAAAAGGTTTAGGAAATAAAGTCCCGTGGAAATAAAGTTCT